TCATGTTTCGTGTAGTTTATTTAATAATGTCCCTAGGGTATTAACACTAATACCGAAACCCTACCCAGGCTGACGCTAACCAAAACCCCCGGTCTGTGAGACCCCATTTGAAAACAATAGACAATAGACAATAGACAAAGCTTTATTGTACATAACGCCTGATACAATAATTACAAAAGTAATTCCCAAGCTGGTACATGGTCAATTTATATCTAATTTATATCTAGGTTCCTTAATCTAATTATACCCTGACAAGAGTAAAAACTATTACAATTTATCTTTAAAAAAAGTCTGAATTTTGTAATACGCTTTTTGGCTCAAAGTCTCTTTCCGTTTATATGTAAAATTTGATTTTGATAAAGTTCTGTATGAATTAGGTAAATGATTGTAGATTTTTAATCCCATGTAAAGAGGCCCAGTTTCAAATTTTGTGTGTGAATGTTTGGGATATTGAAAAGTTTTGTTATTATTTCTCGCTTGATAGTTATGATTTATTTTATATTTTTCAAAAAAGAAAGGATTTGCATGAACATACTTTGCTATTTCAAATATATAAAGAGAAGGTAATGTTAAAATGGAATGTTTTTTGAAAAAAGGTTTACAGCTTTTTTTAGACTTCTGGTGAAAAATAGTTCTGAGAATTGACTTTTGGCAAGTGAACACTTTCTTGGCCTCTGCAGAGTTACCCCATAGAGTGACGCCATAAGCCAGCAAAGAATGAACATATGCATGATATACTGTCAAGCAGACTTCTAGCGGCGTGACCTTGGATAGTACACTTAGTGAATACCTTGTTGACCTTAATTTTTTTTTAGATGATGAATGTGATCAGACCAACTTAATTTTGAGTCTTAGAACAATAGACCCCGCTTAGAAAAACACAAAACAAACCCTGGGCCTGTGAGATCCCGCTTTAAAATACACTTACGCTGGGCTTCTGAGACGGTCATATTATGAACAGACGACCTGTCAAGGTCCCGGCACCCACGCAAAATTAACAAACAATATATCAAAAGGTAGGGGAGGAAAAGGGGGAAAGGTATTGGGGGAATGGAATTCCCCAAGTAAACATTGTTGCCAACAAGCGATTGTGAAAATTCCTGTAGGCCTGTTAGGTCGGGTTTTCGGTAAAAGTGTTAAGTAAATTATGTGCACCACGGACCACAAGGGTGTGTTCCAAAGAGACAGTGGCGGATCCGGAGGGGGGGCGAAGAGGGCGACTGTCCCCTCTCGGGCACACATATATATATATATATATTTTATATACATGCAGTTACTGCATGTAATACAGTAGTAGTGCATACACATTGCGTAAGATAATTTGTCACGCTAACTTATCTTAATGGTATAAAACTGCTATTTTGGAGACTTAGTTTATACCAATTTTTCCCTAACCCCCCAAACCCCCCCCCCCTTGTGACTGTTCTATATCCGCCACTGCAAAGAGAAACAACTTTCTGAGTTTGTTCGAGGTTTTATTATATAGTTATGCAATTTAAAACATTTAGAATACAAAATGTTGTGCAGAAAGATGTCTGAATCCAAGTTTGTCATGTATAAAAACATTCCCTAATTTTTATGTGTTTTAAATATGTCACTTCTCAGTTTCAGTCCTCCACAAAATGTAGTAGTCAACTCCTGCTACTCCTACATTTCTAATTGTAAGAAGAAAGTCTATATCTAAATACTTATTGATCTCACCACATCTCTGCCAGTATACAAATGAGGGACTGTCTCGCTCTCCGAGATAAAGTCTGTGTCTAGGAAATCTTAACGTCACTGATTAATCCCAATGAGTCACTTACACAGAGCCAACTTCATGTTCCACTACCGTGTCTAGGAAAACCTAGTTTGAAATATTTCAACGATGATTTTTCTTTGCAGGCGTATTGGCTTGCATCGACGGATACATGAACATTGCATTGGATCAGACGGAGGAGTATGTCAATGGCCAACTCAAAAACAAATACGGAGATGCCTTCATCAGAGGAAATAATGTCCTGTATATCAGCACGCAGAAAAGAAGAGGAGCTTAATGTCTTAACATTTTACTTTAAGAATTTCATTTTGTTACCTACAATTTATTTCCGCTAATTAAAGAATAAGATTTTTATATTTTGTTAAATTTCCTTTGTGTTGAACAGTTCTGTTATGCTTGGATTAGAATGATTTTGTTTACAATGATGCACTTTTATCATCTAATATTTAACATTTTATGTTTTCTTGAATAATTAATTTTCTTAAAAGATCAGTGATTTATTTAATTTCTATGGAATCAAATCCATTATTGTTAAATAACAAAACAGGAGTCGGTCTGTAGCTATCTTTATGTAAAACTTTAGCACAATTAGTTCAATAATTGTTTGCATACCAATGCAAGGATTGGTCTGGCCATGGATCTCATAAAGGGTCATTGCTAGGTCCGTCATTCTTCCTGTCTCTTCTAAATGTTTTTTTCCAACACCATATTACAGGAGTGTACACAGATGAGGTAGTGTCTTGTGCAGATAATACTCTGTTGGGAGAAACAAAATATTAGTAAGTGGAAATATCATATGACAGATGATTAAAGTTGACATCCCATTCTCTTGTTAAAGCAAATTAATACAAACCCTTTAAGAAGCAAAATGCTTCTGGAGAATAGTCAGACTGGAATTTTGCCGCCTAAATGAGCTTCGCGTGACCGCCGCTACGATCACTCACATGGCAGCCTCGCTACTCTATCTCTCTCTTTCTTTCTTATTGCTTATTTTGTAGTACGAAAATTGATTGGGAGAGGTCTGCACATGTGTGATTCGCTATAAGAGCGTGGTAAGCAATTTTGGTTATAGCAGAGTCTTTAAAGTTGTTACTCTTCTAAGGGTGTAAATTTGGTGTAGATAATCCATGCGTAATTAAATATATGGCAGTTCTATTTTCGATTGTCATCTATTTGGACTCCTAGAAATGTAGTATGGTCTGATTTGTTTAGGTTTTATTTATCTTTTGGAGCTTTGTTTTTTTGCAGAAGATTAAATCAAAATGTTTTTTTATTGTTGATTTTTATGTCCATTGAGTTGCAAAATTCTTCCATGTATTTTAAAATATATTACCCCTGCGAAAACAATACAAACAAGCCTTGGACGTCCCTCGCTCCAGAAGGAATGTGTGAAGATATGTTTACATTTTTCCCCTCACAGATTTAATGCTAGTTCTAGGGCTCTCATACATGATATATCCAATCCAAGAAAATCAATACAGTAGTATTTACAAAAAATCTTAAAACTAATTATTTTTATTTTCAATTTTTTAGGTATAAAGAGCTCTTATATAACTATTCAACTACATTGATACAAAATTTCAAGAAAATCTGTTGAAATTAAAATCCTATCAATCAAAAATGCTGGTTCGATCCAGAGAAAAGTTAGTTGCCTGTTGCCACCGAAAGGGGGGACAAATACGAAACTATCATTTTTCGCGGAGGCTACTGCGCTACTAACCTTTTACAAAACTTGTCTCGGCAGCAGGTGATTCACGGACGTGTCGATTTAGTAGTCGTGTGTTTACAATTTTTTCAGGAAGGCGCGCATAGTGACCCCGAGCTACCCTCCTGTCCTTAACTCCTTACCCCTAAAACGCAGGGTGATGAAGACTCTTAAAAGAAGGTCCAATCTTGAGGGTTTAGTACTCGTGTCATCGGCACAAATCATACAATACAATCCAATCCTTTCTGAAGGGTTTCAAGAAAAATCGTCATAGGCCCACTATATGTGATAAAAAGAAGGGGTCAAGGTTGCTTCCTTGAAGTAATTCTTTTGGGTTAAATTTTGAAGCTTTGATTTGGTTTTTAAGTTAGATGTTGTTTTTAATGTAGCTTATTATTTTATTTAGTTTTTTTTAATTATGTTAAAATGTTGCAACCCTACTCAATGACCATGGTCAACTGAGCTAAAATGACTGTACAACTCATAGATATGAATGAATACTCTACAATATCTTTAGCAGCAGTGCATTAGCGGTATAATCTATGCAGATGCTCAGTGCTCAGTGCCAGTGCCCAAGTCAAGTCTGTCTCAGCACACTCAGCCTCAGCTCAGTACTCTCAGTCACTCAATCTCAGTCCGTTGAAGAAAGTTCTATCACAATGGTTCAATGCTCTGTCATTCGGTTCTTCCTTCAGTCCTTGGCCTATGGAACCAGGCTGTGGGGCCATGCCACTGGTACTCAGAGAATTCTTTTAATTCAAAAGAGAGCTGTTAGAGTAATTTCAAATGCTGGGTACCTTGACCATTGCAGACCTTTGTTTGTTGAAAATGAAATTTTGACCATTGTGAATGAGTACATTTTTCAGTGTCTGGTGGCAATAAAAGCCAGACAGGACTCTCTTCATGTAAATAGCGATGTACATAGTTATGATACTAGAAATAAGTTTGATATCTTTGTACCTAGAAATAGGCTTCAAAAATCATTGTGTTCTTTTCCTGTTTCAGGCATTAAACTTTTCAACAAATTGCCCCAAAGTACAAGAAATTTACACACAAAAAAATTCTCCACTTTTGTAAAAAATTGGCTCACTCTAAATCCTTTTTACCACATATCCGAATTTTTCAACTGTGACAAAAGCAATCTGGTGGTAACCATTTGAGTCATTTTCAGGTACACCTGCATGGTTTGTGCATGTTTTCTTGTTTTGTTTTTTGACTAGAGCTTATTTATTTGAATTGTTTGTTGATGAATTTGATTTTGCATGTTTTGTTTATTTAAATGACGAGCCTATTGTACTTGTTGTATTTAATGGCAATAAAGACTTTGACTTTGACTTTGAGTCAGTTCAGTCACTCAGTTCAGTTCCCACCCTCACTCAGTCACAGGGGTTACATTATGTGACTATCGTGAGAAATTCTAGTGTTGATGTTGTTGGCTTAAATTGCTTTGCTTTGCTTTTGCTGTTTGTGTGTTTGTTGGGTTTGGAAACGGAACAGAACATAATAATAGAGAATAATATCAGAAAGATGGCAAGAAGTTAAAGGTTAAAATTGTTTTGTGTAGTTATAGATTAATGTAATATCTCCTAAACTTAATAGTTAGCCTCGATAAAATCAGTTATCTCACAAGTACAACTTGGAAAGCTGAAAGTGAAATACAACTAACCTTAACTAAACAAACATTGAAGTTATTACTTGGTGAATAGTCAATCTATAGGACTACAAATCAGATTAACTTTATAGAAGTAGGCCTAATCAAACTTTAAGAAGATTACCTTGCTCAGCTTGACATGATTTATGAAGGATAACTTACAACTTGGACATTTATATTTGTTGTCATGATAAAATAGGCATAGGCCCTAGGCCTAGGTCTAGGCCTAACTTAAGGCCAAATATTGGAAATCCCTTTAATGACAGCGTAGGCCTATAAAGTGAGATTTCAGATTGAAGGAAGTTAAGGTGTTAGAGAAACCAACTTGTGAAAAATTAAATCTTCTAAAAAGGTAAGTCGACAACCCAACACTGAATTTGAAGTTCAAATTTGGTTAGTTAGGTTAACCGGACCTAACTAACTGAATTAAATAATTGATAGGACTAAGTTATATCATATCGCATAATCAATAGTATGATAAGTTATTTTCATTCGGTTGTTTTTGGCCCCACTTAGGAAAGTACTCCCTATGCCTAATTTAACTTAGGCATGTTTCTTATTATCATATTATCTGTAATTTGTACCAGTATATTATTTATTATCTTATTATATTATCCGTTGGACCTTGGGAACTACGGGTTGTACAACAATACCATTTTTGCTTGTGAAAATACCTAATTAGATAGAAGTAGCCTACGGTAGTAATAAAAGTAGATTTACATCATCTAGGTCTCACCAGTTAAGTGAGGCAACCAAAATTTACTTGCACAGCTGCACACCCGTTACCGCTTGTCCCTTGTGACTTTTTTTAGCAAAACTTTCGTGAACGCCTTATTTTAAAAGTACCTACGGTAACATCAAATAATATTATGACTAGCCGCCAATACTTTCCCGTGTCTCGCAACGGGAAGAAAACACTAAAGAGAGTAGCCTAACTTAAGTTTAATCATTTTCTAAAGATCTTCTGTAGGCAATAAAAATGTAAGTTAATCAGACCTAGGCCCCTAACTCATAAATAAATGCCCACAATTTGGATAAAGTACCAACAGAACTACGTGGCTTATATAAATTTAAGTTAAGCAATAATATTAGCCTATTAAAAGTAAACTTATTAAAAATAACATGTAGAGACTTCACAAGCTGTCAGGGCCCTAGAAGTGTAGCCTATTCAAATAAAAAAATTACTAAAAAATCCATTAAGCTAATTGTGATACATTGGCTCTATTCATGGACAAATAATTTATAAATAAAAACAACTTTTTATAATGCCACGTTTTTTAACGAACTAAAAAAAGTATAAAATTATTTATAAAAGTGTGGAGGGAATAAAAAAAATTCGGGGTTCATGCAATAGCTAATTTACGACAACTGAAATCTTCACCAATTGAAATATTATCTATAGCCTAGATCTATACTACATAGATGTGAAAAATTCTCTCCACATATTTATAAATTATTTTCTACTTTTTAATTTGTTTAACCCTAGCAGTGGCCAACGATCGTAATACGCTCGTTTGCAGTGACGCCCATCGATGTATAATAACTCTCGATGGTGACGCCTAGAATGGCCACCAGCGTAATACAATAGTATGGGCCAAATTTTTTTAACGGCCAAAAACTGCTTATAATCAACTCTGATGTGAACAATATATACCATTCAAAAGATCACATTCTGAACTTTCATTTTATTATATAAACAAACCCTGTAGCAGGTATATAACAATGTTACTACTATTAGAAATGAAATGAATTTTTGGCGCGGCACGACTTTTGCAGCTGACTTGAGGTTGTATTTTTCTTGCGGTTGTATTTTGCGGTTTTCCGTTTATTATATTTATTACATTATGACCCTAACACTTAAAAACAAAAGTTGTTACCCAACGTGTTATACATTTTTTATGTATGTAATTGAATACACTACACAAGATGATTATGTTGGTTTGAAGTAAAAACATTGGTACAAAAGTTTTTTGCTAATACTTAGAATTTTCTTTTTACGAAATCGCTAAATTATAAAAACATTATTTTAAGTTATTCATAAATAAAAAATCACTTTACCATAAACTTTATGACTTTTTTGGATTCCTTACTTTATTAGCTTTACAAATATGCAAATATCAATATTAGTATAAATATACAACACAAACTAACACTGTACGGTTTTCAATTTTTCCGGTTCTCCGTTTGTTATTATGTTACGTCTACACAACTTACAGAAGAAGAAATATTTTCGTAACATGTTATAGCCTATGTAGGAAATTAGATTGTCGACTAAATCTATATAGGCCTAATTAATTCCCATCAAAAAATCTGTAAAAAAAATTGTACCCAGACTGCTTTTGAAATTTCAAAAAGAAAATTCTAAATTTATTTATTCTTTTCACTTTACTGGGAAAAAACTTTCTAAATCATTATTAGCCTATATTACTAGCCTAGCCTATTTCTAGAATCTCCTGTTCTTTCCAAACAAAAGGAATATGAGGTTGTTGGCTAAGTTTACTCCTACGGTTGAATTTTTACGAATTTTCAATTCGTTTTCAATTCGGCTTCTCTGTTATCTCAGATATTATTTTTGGGGATGACAAACATACAAACACAATACTGTACATTTTTATAAACATTAAAGAGAGGCAGTTAGCTTAATAAGTTGGTTAATTGTGCACTTAAAAATAAAATCTTGTCCTATTGTTTGAATATCAAAAATTTTATTGAACTTCCTTTGATGTTTTCTCAAATATATTTGACTAACCTCAAACACAATTAATTGATGTGTTCTTAAATAAACATAACTGTTCCAAAATAAAATTGGAAAAGGTAGGCCTATAGATTTAGCATTTACTTTAGATATTGCATTGCAAGAAGACATCTTATTCATGTGAACCGTACCGTACCATTAACTTTGGATACTGCAAGTAGTCATCCCATTGACCCAAACCAGATGTACAATACCATTGACTTTAGATGCTAAAAGTAGACATTCCATTTACTTGAACCAAACGTCTCAGGCCTACCATTGACTATGGATACTGCAAGTAGACATGTGTACGTACCACGTGTACCATTGACTTAGATACTGCAAGGAGACATCTCATTTACATGAACTGTATTTAGCATTGACTCAATTGAATATTGGATTAATAAGGTTGCTCCGCTCAATATTGCAAGCAGACAGCTGCCTTTTACACCTAGTAATATTATTATATTTTAGTATGATATACTACCTACATTTCCTTTCATTACATATCTATTTGTATAAAATTTCAATAAAGCAACTTGAAATTCACTTTAATCTTAAGGGTCATCAACTAGCGCTTATTGTAAAATTAAACCCAGTAGGATTTAGAAGATACACTTTTTGATTGATATGATTTCATTGTACAAAAAATAACATACCATACCTTATTGGCTTTCATAAGTTGGTATGATTTGAACCAACAGTAAGGTAATTAACATATGTCATTATTTTCCAAGTTGTGCCCATGTTTATTATTAATTTAATAATAAACAACATATTCCTTACAACAAAATTTGAGTTGTTCAGTGAATTTTGAATTTTCTATCAAACCTAAAAACTTAATTTTACTTTTTCAAATTACAATGTTTGGATTCAATACAAAAGAGATATTTCAACAAAAGATTACTGATTTGGTCCATGTTTTATTTGCTAGTTATATGATTGGTATGGCACTGTTCTACGTCATTAAATGGATTCACCCACATATAAAGAAGCGTGCTGATGCTTATTATAAACAAAAATCTAACGTTAAGCCTAGCTCAAAATACTCCATCGTTTTCAACGAGAGGTGTAAAAATGAGAAAAACAGAGTGACTTTGAACAGTAAAATTGAAGATGAAATGGTTGGAGATGGAATTTGGAATGAGTTTGAACATTTGAAAACACTTCTGGGAATGGCAGATAATCCCCCAAGGGCTGTTTTTGATTCACTTAGCGAAATGAAAATTAATATGATGAGCGACTCTGAGTTTGAAAATGCACTGAATCTGGGAAACTTCCTTAGGAAACTGAGCAAAAGAAATTCTTCCTCTGAAGTGCAAACGAATATAACTATCAATCCAAAAATGAAAATAGACTATTCTTGTCCTGAATTGTTATCTTTTGATCTGATACCAGAAAGAGTCATCAAAGCGACAAATTCTTCAGACAGTTTCAAATCTGTAAGCTCAAAGAAGTCGGAAACCCTCAAATCGGAGCTTGAACAAATCATCAGCGAACTTGAGGGCAATGATGATTCACTCCAAAGCCAAATTGATGAGGACAAGATCATACAAAAACTGCAAAACTATTTAAAAAGCAGTCTTGCGAATAGCGATGTCTCCAGCTCTTTTGAACAATCTACAAATCAGGCTCAAGAAAGTAGGTTATTAGAAGTGGCTATAGCAGAGTTTGAAAAAGAACTGAAGCCAATTAAAGAACAGATACAGATTTTAAAAGAGTATTTCAGTGGTGAACTTGCATGTAAACAACCAAACTCAATTGGCCCGTTTAGCGATCTAACTTCATCCTTCACCGAAAGCGGAACATTGTTAGAAAGTGTATCAGGAACTACAACTAGTAGCACTGGCTCGCACAGTTTTTTCTCTTCTTATCATATTATTTCAGCCACTAGTTTTGGATCCGTGGATAAAAATTCGAAGTGTGACATTAAATTAGATAAAACTACTCCAACAACTTTTAGAAATTTACATAAAACTAAGCAATACCATAAACTATCCTCATTTAAAGGAACTTCAAATTTGAAAGAAATTCCCAAATCTCCTGAAAAACACAAGTCCAAGAAAAGATCTCCGATAGCAGAAATGTACGTTAAACTTTCTCAATGCAAATCTCAGACTTCATCCATGGTTAGAAATAAAAGAGAGAAAGTAACATCCAATGATGCTGGAGTTACATACCGCATTGATTTGAATGTTAACTTGACTGGAGCTAATACTTCAAAATGTCAAAAGTCAAAACCACTGAAGGAAAGAACAATACAACCATTGACTTCTGATCCAGATGAAATCCTGGGGAAACCATCCGATACACATATTTGTCTGCGACCAACAATCAAATAAATTAGGCGTGTCAAACCTATGCTTTACTTTTAAAACTTTTTGAAAATTCTGACTGTAGGCCTACCTATTGGTTTAAAATCATATTTTGTAGGGTTTGAAAGGGCTTCATATTGGTACATTGTAATTTTAAACTTTATGAATAAAGTAACATTGGTATTTCACATTTTAAAATGAGGTTATATATTATTTTTTTACTATTTTTACCTGTTACTTGGTCCTAAGTTCTATTAGTTTGAGATTTCTGTCAGAGGTTGACAAAATTTGATTACAACTCTA